ACTATAAAATTCTTGAAATATGTCTAATTTGAGAGTTTCACATAATTCAAAGAAGTCACGTTTGAAGAGGTCGAAAGACAAACCTGTATAAATAGCCCAAGATTTCTCCTTATTTGATATTTTACCTCCTTGTCTGTACTCTGATCATATCAATATTAATATTAAAAGAGTCTTTAGAGCCTCTGTCTGCAATTTATCTTTTGAATACTTGATAACAACTCTTTGTCCTTTTTACTTTTATATGACTAGCTTGAGCCTGGCTTCATTATTGCCAATGGTATAGAAAGTATATATGTACACAAAAAGTGCACATATACATGTATATATACATGCACTCACACACACACACACACACACACACACACACACACACACACACTATGTGTATAAAATATTGTACTATCTGAAAATAGTCATGGAATGCCAAACTGTCAGAACAGCTTCTGGTCTAGCCTAGTCACTACATCTCTTACTGTACCCAAAGAACTTGAAAGAACAATAATGCTTATCATGAATAATCTGGGATTCACCAACCAGCAGCACCGCCTCTACAGATGCCAAGGGATGCCACTGTCCTTTGCCAAATACTTTGCACATACAACAAACTACTTTGTAGCATAAATAATATTAATAGCCCCATTTTACAGATGAGGGGACCTAGTCAGAGGTTAAACAATTTTCCAAGGTCACACAGCTGGCAAGTGGTAGAGCCAGAATTCAACCCCGGGCCGTCTAGTCCAGAGCCTGTACATATAACACTATGCCACATTGCCTTCTGGGATTGTTTTAATTGTGCCTAAAAAGCAGATTCCAAGCATAACAAAAAACCAAAACCCCATATTTGTGGAAGAGACTCTCAGCCAGGGATCCCCACTCACTCACGTAGTGAGGCGTATGAGAACGTGAACACGTGGAGAGGTAACACTTCTAGTGTGAAAGAGATCTTTCAGTTACTTAGGAGAATAGCATTAAAAGGGTTAAGAAATACTGGCCTATGGGATAATTTTATGTAAGCATTTAGATAAAAGCATTTAGTATAAGCATTCCCAGTATTTTTTCTCTTTCTAAAAGTAATGGCATTTCTTTAATTCATCTGTTTGCTAGCTCTTTCATAGCAAGGGAAATTTTAATTCTGCTAGGGGACTTTACAGCAGCAAGCTGAGACTTGAAGCTTCTGGACCTTGGCATCTCTTTCCCCTTTAAGATATCTGATAGGCCAAAACACTTATATTCCTGCTTTATAAGAATATAGTACAATATTTTGGGGGAATGGAAAGATGACTAAGAATGGGAAAATTATTTTCTGTGTAAATAAAATTATATTTTGGTTACCTTTCTTTTTTTTTCAAACTTTGAAAGCAAAATTTTTAATCAATAGTGTATGAGTGCCCTGACCAGTGTGGCTCAGAAGGTTGGGGGTCATCTCATAAAGCAAAAGGTGGCCAGTTCGATTCCTGGTCAGGGCACATGCCTGGGTTGTGGGCTCATTCCCCGGTTGGGGTGCATACGAGAGGCAACCAATGGATGTTTCTCTCCCTTCCTTCCCTTCTCTCTAAAAAAAAGAAAACTAAACAAAACAAAAACCTGTGATTTCTTGAAATTGATTTTTAATATATTTTTTCATACTGTCCACTGATACTTAAGTTTGGTTTTTAAAATACCCCCAATTTGATATTTAAATGTTTAAATAAGAGAAAGGAATCTGACTCATAAATAACTTTCCTTCTGACTTTTTAGAAGAGTTGTGTGCAAATGATTATGCTACATGAGTAACTTTTTGAAAAGCCTTTGAGGGAGTCATTTTGGTCATTTGGAATCTTTCATATTATTTGACTGGTCTGGACACTGTTGTCCTGATAAACTATAAAAGTTGTTTAGTATTTTTATGATGGTATGCATTATCCATCATTATATTTTTTAAATCCTTATTAAGTAACTTGCACACATTTTGCCTAAGCTTGAAATAGCTGTATAGACTCCTTTGTAGAATGGTAAGTGGTAGGTACTGGCCAAAGACAGAAAATCGCCTTAGACCTTTCAGAAATAACAAGACAGCTTTCTCAGAAGAGATGGTGGATTTATGTGTACTTTCATGCCCTTCCAAAACCCCCCTAAAAGAACATGAGGGAGGTTTTTAAAGTGTAGACCATCAAGGGTGAGAAGGAGAGCAAGAAAGACAATAGCCAACAATACTTGGGAAGTTGGAAACAGAAGCCCTAAGCCAGCTGAGGGGAAAGCCAAGAGCCAACCTTATTTATACCTCAGAACGTCCAAAAGGCTGAAAAACTGGCAGCATCAGTACCTGTGGGCATGAGATTAAAAGGACTGCTAAACGTGGGAGGACTGGTTCAATCTGTTCAGGGAGAACTCAGATCCCCAGAACCTCTCCTCTCCATTCCAGAGGTGGGTGATTACTCTTTCCCTGCCCCGTATTTCCAATACTGGAGGTTTACTCTGGGGAGGAAATGAGGCTCTCTGGACTCCCAAAGCCGAGGCAGGGGTCCCGTAATGAAAGAGCACGGTTAAGTGGTGTAAGTGTGCCGAGTGCTGGGAGACTCCCTCCTTCCGCTGCCAGAAAGCCAGCAGTCAGGCCTTCACCCGCTAGGCAGACATGAGCCCGCCTTTCTCAGGGGAAACGGTGAAGCCAACTGAACTAGCCCAGCCAGATAATCCTCAGTGAAGTTCACAGTCAACAAACTTCACTCACATGCTGAGAGCATTGTCAGCTGGTAAGGCCCTCCCTCACCTGTAAATGTGAGCGAAAAACAAAGAATTACCAGGTCACTGGTAAACTAATCAGCCTCTACTGTGAAAGATGGAGACTAAAGCAAACATAAGATGGTGACTTGGAAGAACAGAGACTGTACAGGTTAAGAACAGCTTCCAAAAATCCTAAGAGTACATGGGAATTGACTAACCCTTTTCCCTACTTTTGTGCAGGTTTTAAACTTTCCATTATAATTTTCATAGAGATACAATATTGCAACAATAAAACAAAAACATACTATGAAAAAGTTAACACTCAGAGAGCTCATAGAAATTAAAAATATGATTAAAAAAAGCAAAACTCCCAGAAAGGAGGATCAAAAAAAGAGGATGAAGAAAATGAATTCCAGCCCTGAATCCTTTATCTAGTCAAATTATCAAGCAGGAGTGCAAACAGAAAGAAGACATTGGCAGAAATGCAAGGTTTCAAGTACCTTTTGTCAAGAAAGTGTTGTAGGGTGTGCTCCATGAAAATGTGGCGTAAATACAAACAGAGGAAGGTGGAAGATGTAAGAAACATTAAATCCACTTTAAGAGTGCAGAGAATCACCAGGACAATAGCGAAGGGCTTTCACAAGATGAAAACTACAGGCAGCAAGTCCAAAACCTGGCTGAAATCCTTCAGGAGGATGAAATTGAATGAATGTCTGATGTATGTGAATGCCTTGGGAGAAGAGCTAGACCACAGGTCAACATGGCTCCTGCCTGTTACTCAAATAAAATTTTAAGATTGTATTTATTTAAAAAAAATTTTTTTAATGTATTTAATTTTTAGAGAGGGGGGAAAGGAAGGAGAAAGAGAGAGAGAGAAAGATGTGCAAGAGAAACATCAATTGGTTGCCTCCCACACACCCCCAACTGGGGACCTGGCCCACAACCCAGGCATGTGCCCTGACTGGGAGTTGAACTTGCGGCCGTCCAGTTCACAGGCTGGACCTCAGTCTACTGAGCCACACCAGCCAGGGCTCAAATAAAATTTTATTTGAACACAGCTACACTTATTCACACATTGTCTATGGCTGCTTTTGCACTATAAGCAGAGTTTAATTGTTCCAACAGATCGCATGGCCTGCAAAGTCTAAATATCTTTTATCTGGCTCCTTAAGAAAAGGGTCACAGGGCTTTATCTGGAGAATTGATTCTAGACAATTGGCCAAGAGCATGTGGTTGAGATAGTTATGTGTACATAGAAAACTGTAATTGCTCAATTCAGGGAAAACAAAAATTGGTTGCATGGGAAGATGGGAAGGATGTGCATGTGTGATAGGAATGGGAAGAAGAAGGAGCTTAATCTTCGTCTTCCATAGTGGGAACTCAGTAGATAAGCCCCAACGCTAAAGAAGAAACATGGTGATCAATATCAAGATAATCAGCTAAAAGAAGTTAAAATCAATTCCTCTCGGGAAGGAGGAAAAAAGCAGAGGGACAGGGTCTGCTGTTTTCTCATACAAACAAACCTTTTGTAGACTTTAACTGTGTACCGTTATACCTTTGATAAAGGAAAAAAAAAAATTAAACCCTCTACCCCAAAATTTGGAAAACAAACAAGGAAAGAAACTCTTTCTCAAGAGCGGCCGATAGGCAGTATTACTTGTACTCTTCTGTCTGTTCTCACCTCCAGGGGATATTTATCACTAATCATCCCAGTCTAATTGCTGTTGAGTCAGGACCGGGTTGCAGAACCTTCAGGATTGTGTCACAGCAGCCACTACCAATCGGTGTGAGTTGACTTTGCTCAGGAAACCAGTATCTCTGATATAGTTAGTGAAAAGGCACAAATTTAGAGGGATTCTGTCTAGTTCACAGACATTCCCAGCAAAAGAACATTGCTAGGCTGCATTATTTGGCCTGCCACTTGACTACTCCAGTGTCCTAAAGTAGATGCCATTTAAAATTTCATCTGTTCTAAATACCATTTCTACTTAACACAGCAGCATGAGAAGACAGTTGTTTCTCAATAATTTTTCATAGATATAGGATAACTAATATGTTTTTAACATCTAGCACTAACATAATGAGCTAATAAATGTTTGAATGAATAAATGAACTCAATTGTGTAACCAACATTTTTTTTTTAAATCAAGATAACTTGAGAAGCTGAGGAAACCCACCATTGCAAAAGAGGTTCCATTCCATAACTTTCTTCAGCTTTTCAGTCACCAAAGCTAAACTGCGGCTCTGTTTGATTTTGTCTTCTGAACTAACATAATTTTCGCCCTTATTTTCTTAACTAGGATCTTTCCAATTAAAGATGTACCCCTGGAGACCGATGAACTTTCTGATTGGCTCTATCAACGTTTTATTGAAAAAGAAGACCTCTTATCGCATTTTTATAAAACAGGTACACAGAATCCTATTATGTACCTTCCTGAAGTTACCTTTAGTTTTGAAGATGTACTTTAGGAGAGATAATAACTTCTCTGATTCTTCAGATACCCTAAAGGAAGCAAAGTATTTTTATATTTAAGAATTCAGCTTAGAATTTTCATAAGACAAATTTATATTAAACTTATTCAGGCACTTGCTTCATCAGCCAGTGAGCAAAGATCAGATGGTAAGTAACAGGTTATACAAATGGGTCTAATTCAGGAGAGCACAAAGCCTGCAGAAGACTAATCACACATACAGAATTTTATGAGCTGTTTTATGAAATAGCAAATGGCATTTATTTTTTGGCAGTGTACTTGATTGTTTAAATAATACCATCATCTAGCAGTCATTTGAGGTCATTTGTAACTGCTTTTTTATATGTTTATTCTTTTCTTTACATACAGGGATAAAGTTCAACCCTTAATCCCTGTGTAGCTGTGTTCAAGGGTTTAACAGCCCTTTTCTATACTTAATAGTCTCTCTGTTCTGTGAAAACTACAGTGCAGTAAAAAAGACTTAGTGGGGAAGGAGAGAGGCAGGAAGAAAGGAAGTAAGAAAGTAATGGAAGAAGGAGATTAAAAGTGGTAGAGCTCCAGGTACTGCCACAGTGCTTTCACCAACAGCTACCTGGGGGCCTATTGTGTGGGCGCCACCAGACGGGGAGGGAAAAGGTGAAAAGAAAGTTGCCCCAAGCCTGAGGATGGCCATGGGATTTTTGATGAACAGAGGCACTGTTTTCTTCCCATTTAGAAGTTTTTTGGTACAGAATTAAAGTTCATGTTAAATCAGACTCTCAAAGGCCTGGTGTTGAGCAAAGACTGATACTACTAATTATCTTCAGTGCTTTTGATTTTGTGTTTAAGATTGTTTCACTTTGCCTTCCTGATCTTAACTTTCTGATGCTGGGGCTGTGGGGTAGAGCATATTAATATGACAGGAGTTGGTCACTGTGCATGTCTTTAGAATTCCTAATAAGATGTCCTTCTCTGTGTTGGCAGTCCTTGACCTAACTCTCAAATTTTCCTAAAAAGGTAAGACAGGACAGATGTGTAAGAAGGCATGCGGCATTTAAGGAGTCAACAGGGTCTCTCTTTTTTTCAATCTGTCTCTTTATGACATTTGGCCTAAATTGTAGCCACAATAATGGAAGCCTCTTTTTTAAAAAATCTATTTGCATAATAGACCTTAAAACTTGAAAGTGTTCTCTGTACATTGCTTGGGAGAAGCAAATCCTCTCATGAATCAGCTTAGGCTGGGGGATTATCAGCAAGGACAAAGACTATTTGAAATGCTGAAGAGCGTTATCAAGATGACCTTAGGTAGTATTGCTCTGGAACAGCCTAGCTTTCCTGTGCAGAAACCTGTTTACTTTGTGTTTCTCATTATTAAGATATAGTTCATAAATCATACTGCTTTTTGAAAATATCAGTGATTTACAACCATTTAAAAAAAATTTTTTTTTTAAGTTTATTTTTAGAGAGAGAGGAAGGGAGGGAGAAAGGGAGAACAACATCTATGTGCAAGAGATACACTGTTCAGTTTGTATGCCCCCAAGGCGGGGCCTGGCCCACAGCCCAGGCATGTGCCCTGACTGGGAATCGAACCGCAACCCTTCGTTTTACAGACCAGCACTCAATCCACTGAGCCACACCAGCCAGGGCACAGTCACTTTTTTGTGACAAAGACATTTAACTTGTAAATAGAGGAATCGGTATAAGTTAATGCTATTTGGGAGAGTATTCAATATTGATTTCACACATCTTATGTCCTGGCCACTGTGGAAATCTCCAGGATACGGTGGGCAGCGAGGGAGCAGAGTCCCTGCCCTCAGGCAGTTTCTGTTCCAGCAGCAGACAGTCTGTAGAGAAAAGAAAAGCTCGAGAGGGATCATTATAGATTGTGGAAAGTGCCAAAAAGGAAATAAACATGGAGATGAGAGTGACTGGCGGGGCCAGGTGGGGGGTGGGGGGAGCAGGTGGCATATTTTCTGATAGTGGAAGAATGCAGATGCCCCCGCCCTCCCCTGGGGTAGAGGAGGAGCACTTCAGGCTGACAGAATAAGGCAAAGGCTCAGAGGTAGTAAGGGCTCCGCAGGGAAAATTCCATTGAAATGAGATCTCTGCAGGAGCAATGGGAAATCACAGAACACGATTTACAATACAGAAATTCTAGTTAAACTAATACTCAGCTTTTGTTCCAGGAGACCTACCACTACAGTAAAACAAAGTAATATTTCCATTTTGTTTTTTAGGGGCTTTTCCACCTCCCAAGGGCCACAAGGAAGCTGTTTCCAGGGAGATGACCCTCAGCAATATGTGGATCTTTCTCATACAGTCTTTTGCGTTTTTGTCAGGCTATATGTGGTACAACATCATTCGGTATTTCTACCATTGCCTATTCTAGGACCTGGACTTGTCAGAGTCACCATAGGAATCCAGACTTTCAGGAGTGTGCATTATTTTACATGTGCAAATCAGAATATTAAAAACAAACAAACAAACAAAGGAAATTCCATGGATGGATTACTGTATTTATCCCCCTTTGGGATATTTTAAAACTGCGAAAATGAGCATCAGTAATATAGTGACCTGCTAATATGTTTTAAGGACTTTTCATGTTTTAAAAACATACACTCTACCACACACTTAAGCGAACATCACATTTGGAGAAGAGGAAATCGTAAAATCATCCTAGAAGACTGAGAGAAGTTCTGTTGCCAGCAGATGCTTGATCACCTAGTCCAAGCTCAGAGAGCCGTGCCGTCCTCCTAGCTAGCAGCCTCCATAGGGCAGTGCTGCGGGGTCCCCACTACCCCCTCCCCGTGCTCGCTGAGTCACTGGTAACCTCGAGCAGGGCTGGTTGGCACCTTCTGAAGAACGGTTGCCCTGTCGCGTGCAGTGACACTCCAGTCCTCACCAACTCAGCAAGGTTCAGGGTCAGGCATGCTGGGGGCGGGGTGCAGGGGGGAGCGGTGTCCAGTGGACATGTCCCTGTACTGGAATGTGCTCTTTCAAAAGGCTCGCTCAGTCCGTGTTTACATGTGCTAGTGCTTGCCCGTGTTGGGGTGGGCACTTGGTTTCTCCTTTTGTATAGAAGGCATATTGTAGATTGATAATTGTTTCTTACAAAATGCACTTTTGTCAGATGCATCTGTAGCAAAGGGTTGGTAGTACAGCCTGAACACAGACGTAAGCCTAACGGGTGAGTGGGGTTCTCAGAGGCCGCCCTGTCCCGCGTACTTGGCCTGTGCACCCGTGCTCACCAGTGCCTCCCTGTGCCGGGTACCGCGCCCAGCCGAGACTGCTGTCTGGCTCAGAGGCTTTGCTTGTTTCATTTTAATTTTGGTATATTAGCACCAAATGCATTTGGGGATGGTTGAAACAAATTAATGCAAAACATTTAAATGATCAGTACATGGTAAAATAGGCAGTTTATTAGAAAAATAAGAGCTGGCCGGCCAGACACTGGCTTAAATTGGCGACAGGTTGTCACATGGCACCGCCAGAACCTGTCACTCAAGGAGCTGCCCATGTCAGGGTGGTGAGACCGGGAGAGAGACCGGTACATGAGACTTCCCAGTCTCTTCCAGTCACTTTTGGAAAGGATCAAGTCAAGTGTCTATTGCTAGAAGGCATTTTTTTTTTTTTTTGTATTTGTCACTATGTTCATGCAATTTACCTCACAGTAGAACCAAACTCTTCTCAAAAAGTGCTGATACCGCCTCAGCCATCACCTGCGCTCCCTATGTGGAGGCAGAGAATGGTCTTTGGTTTGGGGTTATAAGACCACAAGATGTTAGTGAGTCAGTGGTAGTTTCTTGTGACGTGAGCAGCGTAGATTCCCCCCTTGTCACTAATCATACAAATGACAATTTTGAGAAATAGGCTGGAAGGTAAAAGTAAAGGCTGACGGTTTTTGTTTTTAAATAAACCAAAAAAACCCTGAGAAGATACAAATTTTTTCTCAGTTATGTGGGAAAGGTAAAGCAACACCAAATACAAGCCCACAGCAGCTTCACCTCTAGGTTAATTCAGCGCATGTGGGAAGAGAATGATGCGTTAACTGAAATACCTCATGATTATACTACTACTGGTAAGAAGATGGTGTTCATGTGTTTGGTTTGGGAATGGTGGTTATAAAGTGCCACTGTTTGAAATCTAAGCATTTCACTATGTGTTTTGCAGTGATAGCGAGTAGGCGAAACCAATCTCAACTAAGAAGTACGGAAAATGATAGGAAGCCAAATGGAAGCTTAAAAATGCTTCTGTTTGAGGCCCAGCAAATGCTACTGGGTTACAAGATGAATTGGAATTGTTCATTTGAGAGGTTAGTCAGCCATCTGGGGTATACGTTGTTCACTGTCAAGTACGGCAGACACAGGCCTAGCAATTAGACCTTTTCCTCATCGCTGAAGCAAGCCACAGGTAGAGTGGCCAGTTCTCCCAGCAGAAAACAAGAGAAATGCCTCTGTGCATGCACCGATGCGGTTTAGGACCGTTGGCCATCACTGTGCTCCAAAGGAACATGATATTGTTTAATATACTGTACACATTAAACAGACTATTCTTTAAGATGCTTTACTCTTCAAGCGCAGTCATTTCAACAGCCGCTAGAGTGACAAATACCAATAGATGTGTGAGTCAATTTTTGAACATAGACCTGTGAGTTGTAAATAGATGTGTGTTTGATCTGCCCTGTCCCTCTTTGATTCCTTATCAACATGTTCCCCCTCTTCTCTTTGAGAGCATTGCTAGCGCTTTCCTTACTAGAAACTGGGGCCCTCTTGCTTGCACTAGGGAACATGATGAGAGAATCAGTGTTCTTACGTGGCATCAGGGAAGCCGCAATATGCCACTGTACAGAGCTGGATAAAAATTCCTGACCTGTACTTCCTTTGCAAAGTGAGATGAAAGGAGGTTTAGTAAATATCCATCTTCTCAAGTGGAAAGAAATTAACACTGTGCCAGTTTTATACGAGTAGCTTTTAGAATCTCAGCTGTCCTGCCTAGGTTCCCACAGCAGGCGGGGTTGCAGACTCTCTGCTGTCTCCTGGAGTCACAGCGTTGGAGCATCTGCCTGGCCTCAGGCCGGTGCAGTGACTTCAGAAGTGACCATCCCAGAAGTTCACACTTAACTTCAGAAACTATTACTGGTGTTCAACTATACAGATATTGTAGAGAAGCCTGTAAGACCAGGGAAGGTAAAGAAAAACTACAGAGCAGAAATGAGGTCTTGGGTAGTCATGCAAACTAGTTGAGAATCTAAATAGTAGAGTTTGTTTCTTTTTTAAAGATAGCTGTGATTTCAGATCTGTCTTGTTGTCTGTCATGTTTTAATATTACAACCAACCCTTAATTTTTTACAGTAAAGAACTAGAGATTACTGGATAATTATTCCAATAATAAGTCATAGGAAGCCAAAAATCTAATTGTATTTAGGAGTTTGAATTTTTATTCTCAGCACACTTTTTTTTCTTCCTGGATGCTTGCTAATTTAAAAAAGTGAATTGAATTGTTTATTAGTTTCTCTTATATTTTTTTGACTAATAATGGTGGAAAGATTTGGAAAGACAGCTTCAGGAAGAAGAAACACAAAAACCTAAATAATTCATAGACTTGAAAAGGAATTCCTAATCATCAAGAGTTGGCAGTATTGCAGTTGTTCTCAAGCATTTTTATAAAAATGAAATATTAAATCACCAAATGTAAACCTCAGAACATCATTCTAGTGTTCATATCATTTGGATCAATGTTAAAAATGCCTTTTCATTCTTTGCTCATATTACTCTCACTTCTTGTGGATTTGTCTTAGTAATGTTTTTTGACAATCACTTCCCTAAAGACTCTTCTGAACTAGTGGGACCTGGTTATAATCATAGAACATAGTCTTTAATCATGGATGGTCTTATTGGATTCTTTTTGTATTTAAGAAAATTTTATTTGCACTACCCCATGGGAAGAGTTAGTTATTTTCTCCATTACACAGGGCTCACTCCAGAGTTACCATTATTGGCATACCAGCTCTGGTCCACAAAGGATGGATGAAGAAGGTTAGTCTTATTTGTTGCCATGGAGTGCTGTGAGCCTTGCTTCTGGTAACATGAAAGGCAAAGTCAAAAGCAGCACTGGGCAGCAGGTATGACTAGTTCATTGTAGGAGAGGGTATAGACTAATATGTTTGGGACCAAAACCACCTAAATTGGACATTTCTAGATCATGAGGGGGCCGGGCATTCTCTGGAGCAGTCTCTGGATGGTGCTTTATTGTAATCATTTTGCATTGATCCCCACCAAGTAGGAACTGGACCCTGGGAATGAACTGCGGGTACTGAACTGATGGGGAAGCGTGGCTTTGGCCATATGAAAGATAAAATGTGTTTTTCTGCAAAATTTCCATTTGAGGATTTTTACATTTAATATTTTTTTAAAACAGTTTAAAGAGCAAAAAAAATTTAAGTGTATTCTAGTTGCAAAATATGCACACATATTTTGAATGGCTTTATTTTTATTGTGTAAAACTGTTGAACACACGTCTGTGATGCACAATTTCTTTACATGTAAGGAGTCTATGCATTTTACAGTAACTTATGTTATGATTGGGTAATGGAACAGTTATACATTAGACTGCCATTGTTGTGTTAAGTGCTTTCTTTTTCTTTACAGTTATCACAAAGTTGTATTTATTTTATACAGATGGGTTTTAGTTTTCCTGATGCCATAATGTTTACTTCAGCTTGGTGACCTGTCTTGCTTTGTGTCTCTGCATGTTGTGATGTATGATAAGAATGAATGTAAGGGCTGTGGCAACTGTAATTTTTGTAAAGGGCTGGTCACGCGTGAATCTGGTTTATGAATGCATCGGGATTATTTTAGTAACCAGATTACCTTTTCAGAAATTGAGATGTGAACACCAAAAGAAGCATTTTCTCAACAAAAAAATTAATAGCTGGTTCTATTTTTTTTACCCTAGAAAAAATAAAGTTGATTTTTTTTCAAGTAAAGTGCTTTTAATTCTTAGTGGGGGTGGGGTGGGGGTGTTTTATTGGAGCTATTTGACATTAATATCTGGAGACATGTATGTAGAATACACCCTGGCAGTTGGATGCTGAGGGCAAACTGGAAAACATTGTTCTTCCTCCTTTGGTTTTACGCTGTTTCCCCCTCCCCCTTCCCTGTTCTTCCAGTCCAGTGGTACACTGGTAAATGTTTAACGGTCTGCTCTCCTGGAAAGAAAAATTATGTATACAAACATGCATGTCATAAGTTTCGATGATAGTAAGGATTTTATAACACAATTAACAGATATAAAGTAATAAAATATACTTTACTGTAAATTCCATATAGCCAGTTGGTTCTCCCAAGAAGCTCTCTCTAATTGATTTTTGCAGAACTCTTTGGCCAACCTATGAATGTGATCCAACCATGATTTGAAAAATGGAATTACATCCTAATCCACTCATTTCTCAAACTTGTCATTCAATCTGATATGTGATCTGCTGTTACGCTATTTCTTAGCCTTGTACAGATTATGCTCTTTTAAGTGAATCAGTTTTAGCTTCAGCACCAATGGGAAGCTTCTGTCGTTTAATTTTAGTAACAGCCATTTAACAACTATTGACAAAATTCTAAAACTTAAAACAGTTGGTTCTCTGGCCTGAACCGGTAGGAGAGGTCTTCAGCACACCACTGCCCAATTCTGTTTTATTATTTTTGTTTTGTTTTTTAAACTGTTAGTGTTGAATAAACTCCTCCCAGTTAATCAACTCACTGCCCTCAGGAAATTCCTGTCTTGGACCAGCAGGGGCTTTTGAGGGGTAGGAAAGCGTTAACATCACTTCTACAGAATGGGCTTTGGATTCTGGGGAATTTGACAAAAGCCAATTTTTCCTGAAGTGCATGTAAAGCTTGCGTATTTCTAAAGTTGGTTCTGTGCTTTTATTTCTCAAAGTAAACTGTGATATAGGCATCTCTAAGATTTTGTTTTTAGCATTTAAAACATTGTTTCTATATTTGTAGAATGTTTGATCCCACTGAAAATTTTTAAATGTATTAAAGTATCTTACACAACCTATAAAATAAGTTCAGTAGTTACAGTTCAGTCTACCTCTTCTCTTTCCATCTGGGTTTAGGCTGCTGACTTGGAGAAGTCGTAATTTTTTCCCCCTGGAAGTGGTTTCTGTAGAAAACCAAGAATAAGGGCAGAGGCCCGAAAGCTAGTTTGAATCAGAGATCTATTGCTGACCAGCCCTATTCCTCATGAGTTGGGGGGGGGGGGGGTGGCGGGGGAAGGGGGCCATTGTTTTTAATTTTCACTTAATTGAAAATGTCTGTTTTAAAAATGTTTCTTCCTGCTGGAAAAAAAATAATGTATTTTTAAAAGGGAAAAAGTTTCTCTTTTGGCTATAAGAAAAAGTCAGCTGGTGTGGCCATATCATAACATGCTGATATGATATAAATCAATAAATTTTTACCTCTCAGGACTTGGACAACCTTGTTCTTAACTCTTAGAGGCTTGAGAAACGTAAACCAAGTATCAATAACCCAGATGATGAATGGAACACGGGAGGAGGGTTGGCCAACCACTGGAAATGGGGTAGGCTTTTTTCATGAGCAGAAAATACTCTGAATTAGCTCTGATTAAACCCATTTTTACAGAGGAAGAACGTGGAAGGGTGAGGGTTTTGTTGCTGTTGGAGGGCATGAGCATCTCAAGCTCATTTCCGAGTTCTTCCCTGGAGAATTTTCATGGTCTCTCCTTGGAATGCTCCCTGCCTTTTAGGCGTGCGACTCTAGAGGAGGTGGTAGAGTGCCCTTCACTTTCCTTAGGTAAGAGAGGACACGGGCCATCCTGTGGCCACTGCAGCTGTCACAGTGATGTCACTGAGAAGTAACCAGGCTGAGATACTGCCCCTCACATAGCAATTCACTCCTCTGTTTCACCTTTGCTGAAGGAACTCCCTGCAAAGGGTCTTACCCTCAAGTTTTTTACCTGTTACCTAACACTGATTCAGGATCAGCTGAAGGACGGCTGTGGGAAAATGGCTACCTAGAAGTGGGGAAATCAGAGGAGCTTGGGGTCCTAGGAATAGGAACCCAGGAGTGCTGGACGGCAAGGAAATGCAGAAGGCTGCTGTCGACAAACAGGCAGACACACCCTGACCCGGGAAGGCCCAGGGACCTATTCAGAAGCGAGGAAACCACCTTCCATGGGAAGTCTGTCCGAAGACTGCCATCCCTGAGGGCTCACCTGTAGAGGCTTCCATCCGCCCTTTCAGATCCTCTACCCTCTTGGCAGAAGAAGAGCATGCCTCTCAGCCATTAGGCATCTCCAAGATGCCAAACAAAGGGACAGTTGAAAATATTGGTGACAAGGAACCTCTTTTAATCAGGGCATGTGGAGCCCACATTAGGACTTTTTATCTTTTCCTGATATGTGCACATTTCAATAAGGGCAATGGATGGCATTGGAAACCAGGCATCTGGCCCTGGCCAGGTAGCTCAGTTCGTTAGAGCATCACACCAACACGCCAAGGTTGTGGGTTCAATCCCTTGTCAAGGGTCATACAAGAATCAACCAATGAATGCAAAAATAAGCGGAACAACAAACCGATGTTTCTCTCCCTCCCTGTCTCTAAAATCAATCAATAAATTAAAAAAAATTTTTTTAAAGGAAATGCGTCTGGGCTGCATTGGATATATTGAACTCTGCTCTACTCAGTGTAGGATAGAGCAATGGCAGCTCAGGGCTCCTGAAAAGCACAAAAGAAGAGGCAACCGAGACTTCTTTTGGCTTAGATGCAGGCTTGGCACAGTGTCACTTTGGTTACAGTGAGAGTCTCAGGGACAGTCCAGGCTCAATATGGGAGGGTCTCTGAAAGGGTGTGAATACCAGAAGGTAGGGCTCATTGGGAGCCATCTGTGAAGACCAGCTACCATGGTAAAAAAAATCCCTCAGCTGTTTGAATAATTAAAAAACACGATAGGTCCAGAAGAGTTCTTGCACTTTGACAGGTTTGCCCATCATTTCAATAGCTGGAAATTTGTTTTAAATCCTCATTTGAGGATATGTTTATTGATTTGAGAGAGAGAAACATCGATTGGTTGCCACCCGTACATACCCCGAATGGGGATCAAACCCTCAACCTAGGTATATGCCTTGACCAGGAATCAAACCCACAACCTTTTTGGTGTACGGGATGACACTCCAACCACCTGAGCCACCCGGCCAGGGAAGTAGTTGGTAATTTTTTGTTTCTAAACACTTTCAAGAGGATTAGATCTGTTGACCCATCAATCATTTATATAAACCCCATTAATCAAAGGAACACCTATCTGAAAGAACGGGGGTTTTATATCGGTTTAGGCACCGATTAGTGCATTGGCCATTAGAATTTCAGAGCCAGTGGGAACTTCAGAAATCACTTTGTTTTGAGATGGTGGATCTCAGTCTGGTGTAATTTTGGTCCATGGCTGGTAGCATGAAATGTCTACTTAATGGAACTACAAAGGCTAGAACCAAGTCTTTATTTCCACTCAAATGTTTTCCCCAAAGCAGAAGATTGCTTCTGCTTTTAGTAAGAGTTAAATCTAGAGAATTAAAGGGACTGCTGTTAAAGGGGTGATGGATCCAAAAGCTTCTATAAGTTCCTTTTCCCCGATTTTAAAGTAAACATAATCGTTCCCAAATGCTATAAGATTATGTTTATGCATTCCCCTCAGCTGTTGCAGAGATATAATTAGCCACTAAAAAAGTCTGAAATGCTCGTTTTATCTTTTTGGATACGAAAGTGAAATGTACTTTGTTTGTATTTTGCCCTACCTAGAAGAGAAAGAGAATGCCTGTGTTTCAGACCAAAAGGGACAGTGATTTCAATCTCCTATCAGTTGCTTTCATTTCTGAATTCCAGATATGAAACTGGCAGCAGGTAACAAACTCAGGGCCACGTCTGCCTCCAGTGCCCAGCGTCCTTTTGTCGTGGTGGCCTCTGGGATCCAGGGCTTGTCCAGGTGGGAGCCAGCAGGAGGGGAGCAGAACCCAGGACTCAGCCCAGGAGCTTGAATCCCAACCCCTTTGACAAGTTTCTTCTCTTAACCTTCCTTTGATCGTGTGTTAAATGGGACACTTTCCAAGTTCTTTTCAGCATTAAATGAGATCGTGCACGTGAAGCACTCCATACCAACTGCTCAGTAAGGGAGGCTGTTTTATTTCCCCACAGCTGGGTATCACAGAGGATGTAAACTATTCCTACAGCTGGCCATGTGTAAGGTCCAGGTGACATGTTTGGTTCGTAAGAAGTGTCTATAATGCCCACCGTCCCATTTGCCAGATCCCTGGGTCCTTTGAGTTTCTAAGGTAAACTGAAATGTCATCATCATAGCCAAACTTCTAACCTTCCCTAGTCAGACTATGTCTAGTTATCTAAGGCTCCAGACAGCAGCAAGAAAAAGCTCTGAGGCTGGAGAGCCAATTAGGAAGGCGAAGAGACGAGGGCATAAGAAGGAAATAGGATCTACTAGATGGAAGACATTACATAGTCTTAATAGGAACCTATTTTTGCTTCTGAGACATGATGTCACTTATAGCGAAGACCTTGAACTATCAAAAGGGAGGAAAATATAATTTCTGTAGTTGAAAGCCCTCTACCAGCCCTTAATTCTATGTGTATAATTCATATGATCCTAAATATAAAAACCTTGATGTCATTGATGGCATCCTAAAGATTCAGGAAGCAGAAATTTTTTAAGTCTTTTCCTTTCTAGTTGCAGAAAACTGTGAGGTTTATTGAGAACTTCCATTTCATCTTTCAGTTGTAACTGCAGTGTATTCAGTTCTTAGAAATTGAGGTACCAGAAAGAAATGGGCAGATTAGACTCAAATACTGTGCCGTGGCTGGTGGCTCGGTTGGTTGGAGCATCATCCTGTGCACCAAAAGTGTGTAGGTCAGATTCCAGTCAGGGCACATGACTAGCTTGTGGGTTTGATCCCCAGCTGGAGGGCACA